TTTTAAGCACAAACTGCCAAACTCCAGAAGCTCTAAGTCCCATGTACCTTGGGAAACTTCTAGGAGAATCTTGCTTCAAGTTGGCTTTCTCATTTGTGTCACTTCATGCACTGTGCTGTCTTGTCACAATCCAGCCAATGCCGAAACCATTAAGATTTTATTAGGTTTGTCCTAGTGTCATTATATTAGGCAATCGGCAGGGCTTATTGACAATTCCTATTTTCTGTACCGTGATTTTTATAGTCTGAGTTTATTAAGCGCTCCTGGAATACAGGCTCCTGGAATTAATTTAAAGAAAAAACTTTTTAGGCAGCACCAGGAGAGAAACAGTTTGCAGAAAGCTTTTACATGATTTATGTGCTTTGAGTCCCAGTTGCTATGAAAAGAGTTAAATTAAAGTGAAGTAGCCGGGGCTAACTGCTGCTGTCACTGTCATCTGTAACAGACTGGCAGGGCCAGGTTCTTACTGTCTCCAAAAAGCATTTCCTGCATGTTGATTTACACCCAGGCTTTGGAAACTGTTTTCTACCTTAAATGAAAATTTCTGTTTTTACCTAGCACCTTCCATTAAGCCATTCCTCACAATCTCTCGTTTCCTGGAGGGGAAACTTATTCAGTGCAGTATTCAAACAAATAGGAAAGAAAAACTATGTTCTCAATATTTGAAATTCATCTTGTAAAGCAAAATGTTTTATTCTCAACATTTAGAGACTTATAAATCAAGTGGCTAATGAATTCAAAACTTGAATTTGTTTATTATTTGGTGGAAACAGGACTACCTCAGTGAGAAGCAGATAAAGAGTTGGGGGGATGTGCTGTGCAGCCAAAGTTTTGTTCCTTCTCTCATCTGGGCTGGGTTTCATGTCTTGATCACATCACAACCAGCTTGGATCTGTGTGCAGATCCAAAGAGTCTCAAATCACTTCCCTGGCTTTCACCTTTTCATCCTTCAGATCGTCGCATAGATAATCTTTCTCTGCAGCATTTTCCTGATACTCCATGGACTAGGTTAGAACTCTTTACACACTACTGTAATTCCCTGATGCCCTAAAGTTAGAGCTCTTTACAAGTACCCAGTTCGGTCATTCTCTGCTTATTCATTCTCCCCTTCGCTAACCTTTAAACCTCATGAAACCAAAACCACACCAGCTCTGCCTAAGACTGTATCCTCATTCTAGTGCCCAAGAAATATTGATTGAATAAATAAATGAAAAATACATTGCATTTGCACGCTTTGTTGGTGTCCATGCTCAAGACGCATTTTTAGGTTCTGTTTCCTGGAAATATATCTTCAGTTTCCTCTATAAAATCAGAAGAATAATGCTAACCTTCTAAGGTACTTGTAAGATGGTGTAGGTTCTCAGCTGACAGGGGTTCTCAACTGGGGAGGATTTTGCCACCCCCGGGGACATATATATGGCAATGTCTGATGACATTTTTGGACGCTCATGGCAGCCTCACAATAAAAGAATTATTTGGCCCAAAATGTCAGTAGTGTTGAGTTTGAGAAATCCTGGGGTAGGTGAAAGTGCATAGAATTTGGCAGGTCAAAGGTGATTTTATTTTGTTCTGCATATTGGAGTTCACCTCTTTGGATATCATTAATCATAACAAATACACAGAGAATAACAGTTTATATTCATTACGATCTCACCACGTATCAGGCACCAAATGAGCTTTTCACAAATATTATGCTATTTAATCCCTTCAACAGTGCTGGGCGTTAGAAGCTATTATCCTCATTTTTCAGGTGAGGAGACTAAGACTTAAAAGGTTAAGTAATTTGTCCAAAGTCTTGCAGCTACTAAGTGTCAGAGTTGCGATGAGAACTCAGGGCCTCTGCTTTTGACCATTATATTACACTACTTTATAAATACCGTCTCCAGCTGAAGGTCTAAAATCATTTCTGCCTTCAGTATTCCATAGGACTTCCAGCTGAAAATATAGAGGAAATTTTAGCCTACCTAAATTTGAAAAAATCATTATTGCCTTGGTGTTTGTAATTTTACACTTGCACTAATTTGAACAAAGATCCAGTATACTGGCTGACATCATATGGAGGCTGTTGTTGATCCAAGGATTAGAACAAATCTGCTATGCACTGTTATTTTGTGGAATTCCCAAGAAGCTCAAAGAAAGCCCTGAAAGTTTGTTTTCATTCAAAATTGACCTTGTCATAGGGGATCAGCACATGGTGATCTAGATGGGACTTTTCTCCTGTGAAGGTGGATAAACGGTGACAGTTTGGCCCACGTAATCTTACTAGGAGTTTTCTTCGGGACCACATCCTCCCCTTACATGATTATAAAAGAACTACTCATAAGTAAAATACACCTGCAAGAGAGCAAGGCCTGGGGCACAGAGCTGGTTGGTGGGACTTTCTCCTCTTCCTTCAGAGGACATAGGTCATGCAAGTGAAAAATTTCCCATGTGAATACACCATGATGGTCCCCAGGTCTGTCCCTGAGTACTTTACCTCCCAATGATTACTGCCTTGATGAGGCTTTTAGCTGGTAAACTTTCCAAGTAAACTCTGTCATCCTCAAGTATTGGTTTGCTGTTTTTCAGGCCCTGAAAACTTGGCTTCTCAACACAGTTAAGCATCTATTCTTTTTACATAGACACGTACTTAGAGACCCTGAAACAGCTGTTTTTCTCCCTTAAAAAATTCTGTTCATTGTGTGCTACTATCACACTTGGACGATTCCTGTGGAATACACAAAAATATATTAGATTCTATTCTTTTAGCATCACTTTCCTACCTCTTTTGAAGAGTAAATGCTAATGGCACGAAACAGTTTTTTGTTCTTAAATAAAAGATGCTGTCTAAAAGTGGGCTCCTCTGATTACAAATAACTCTTTTAGCTCCTACTTGACATTAGTGGTTGTCATTCAGACAAATATTTTGCAAGAGTCCTTTGAGGCCAAGTGACTTATATAGTCATTGCACTGCTCCCCCTATAAGATGTTATTTACATATAAGAGGTAACTTGAGGGCCCAGCCCGATGGTGTAGTGGTTACATTTGTATGCTCCACTTCAGCCGCCCGGGGTTTGCGGGTTCCCATCCTGGGCACAGACCTACACACAGCTCATCAAGCCACGCTGTGATGGCATCCCGCATACAAAATAAAGGAACATTGGCACAGATGTTAGCTCAGAGACAATCTTCCTCACCAAACAAAGATCTAATTTGAGACTATCTCCTGATGATAAAAGTGTTTAGTATGCATTATGCCTTTACACTTCTCAAAAGAGTCAATTGAAATGCTTGTGGGTTTATTTTGCATTTAATAAATTAAAACATTTGAGTGATCAAATAAGATAATACTGTGTGTAGGGCAATGCTTCTCAGACTTTAATGTGCCTACCCTAAGCTCTTACTCACATGCAGATTCTGTGTTTCTAACAACTTCCCAGGTCAAGCTCAAGCTGCTGGACCAAGGATCACACTTAAGTAGCAAGTTATTAGGGAGCACTGAGATGGTTTGAAAATGTGAAACCTGAGCTAAGGGTGGCATCAAGCTGATGGCATTAAACTCATTTTTCTTATACTACCCTTAGTTCTATTACAAATTATTCTTTAAGCTTGTAGGGAGATTTTTGCTAAAGGGGATAGCTCCGGTTCAGTGGCAAAACATGTAAGTTTTAACAAATTCAATAATGTTTGATTTTTAACAAAGTATCACATCCATCTGCTTTTGGCTAGAAAGAGACTCCCTGTCTCCCCCATTTTTAAATGTTTAAAGGTTATGAACAACAAAAAATGAATTTTTACCATTTCTGGTCTTCAAAGGCATTTTTTATATGGTTTACAATCTTTTAAATTGTAGAGCAAACTTACAATATTCTTGACACTTAAATAGCACTTACAGTGTTTTTTCTTTTCTAATTATGTTTCTAAAGATAGCTAAAGGAACAAGTTCAAATAGTTCCTCTGTGCTTTTCGATATAAGATGTTTCGATCTCTGAGTATTGGTGAGAATTAAGAGACTCATAGCTAGCTGTGTCCTGTCATGTTAGCTTATTTCGTAGGGAAATCAAATCTGGCACCTTTCAATTAACTTCTTTACCTCTCTAATCTAAAAACAGATGGAACATGTTCTGGAGCAAGAAAGCATGATTACTTTCTGTGGATTGCCTTTATTTCTCCAACTGTGCCTTGTATCGTTTCAAAGTTTGCTGAAAGTCCTCTTTAAAAGCAGGAAAACACTCACAAATGGGAGGAAGGTGGTTTTGCTGCAAAACAATTTATTCCCACCCATGAGCTTGGCAACTCTCAATGGGATCACAGTGGTGTATCTCATCTGTACCTGTCGGTCCCAAAAGAGGGGTAACTGGACATGTGTCATGGACTGGAGTTTGATCATTCTGCTTGGTAACTTGAGTGTAAGCCGTTTTGGAGGAAGACAAAGATGAGAGGAGGGAAGAAGTGGGGAAGCAGGAAGAAGTGCTGTCTCTGCTTTCACTCATGCTTCTGTGCGTTAGGTTTATACTGCGTCGTCAAAGTGTCAGATCAAAAGGATGCCTCTTTTTAAATGACTTTGTCAGTCCTCGTTTTGCACTTGTTTATTTATAACTATAAAGAGTTTCACATTTTCCCTTAAATTTTATTAGTTGCTCAGTCACTCATTTCATCTTGAAACAAGACAATGACCAGTTGGATTTGTAGGTCATCATTATTTAATTCAGCGGATTCAGCAGCGTGCCTATTGTGCAAATAGATATTTAAGGGAAGATACTGATTGAGATGGAAAATTCACAATGTGATCATTGATAGTGAGAGGTAACAGTATGATTTTTTTTGAAGATAATTGAATCATTCACCTCTTGAATACTTTTCAACTAAATTATTGTTACTTAGAATATCATTGAATGCCAACACACTGACTCTGGTCGTTTATCCCCAATCACATTATTCTTGAAAGGTGTACAGTCAGATCAATACATCTTCCATTAATATCTTTAACTGACTCTTCTCTCTCTACTTTCCTACAACAGATTGCAGATCGAGCTTAATCAAGAAGTTCGTAGGCTGATCAACACTCAGCTGACCTGCAACAGAAGAAAGGAGGTCTGCCTTCCCAGTTGGGCCCCTGTTGACCGCTGATAACTTGGCATCACTCATTGCCCGTGTGAAAATTCTCCCTATTGAAATTTTTTCGCACATGGAGGACAACAGCAAAGAGGGCAACACAGGCTGATAAGACCAGAGACCGCAGGAAGATTCTTTTACCGTGGGCCTTTGAGACTTTTCTTCTAGTTGGAGTTCTGGACTTGACAGAACCCCATCCAGTCATTTTGGTTTTACTATCTGTTTTTTTGTTCTTTTTCTTTTCCTCATCACGTTGTATTTTATTTCTGTACTTCAGAAATGGGCCTACAGACTACACAGTGGCCCAGCCATGGGGCTTTTTTCCTGAAATCTTGGCTTCTCATTTCCCTGGGGCTCTACTCACAAGTGTCAAAAATCCTGGCGTGCCCTAGCGTGTGCCGCTGCGACAGGAACTTTGTCTACTGTAATGAGCGAAGCTTGACCTCAGTGCCTCTTGGGATCCCGGAGGGCGTAACCGTACTCTACCTCCACAACAACCAAATTAATAATGCTGGATTTCCTGCAGAACTGCACAACGTACAGTCGGTGCACACCGTCTACCTTTACGGCAACCAACTGGATGAATTCCCCATGAATCTTCCCAAGAATGTCAGAGTCCTCCATTTGCAGGAAAACAATATTCAGACCATATCACGGGCAGCTCTTGCCCAGCTCTTGAAGCTCGAAGAGCTACATCTGGATGACAATTCTATATCCACAGTGGGGGTGGAAGATGGGGCCTTCCGGGAGGCTGTTAGTCTGAAATTGTTGTTTCTGTCCAAGAATCACCTGAGCAGTGTGCCTGTTGGGCTTCCTGTGGACTTGCAAGAGCTGAGAGTGGATGAGAATCGAATTGCTGTCATATCAGACATGGCCTTTCAGAACCTCACGAGCTTGGAGCGTCTGATCGTGGATGGGAACCTACTGACCAACAAGGGCATTGCTGAGGGCACCTTCAGCCATCTCACCAAGCTCAAGGAATTTTCAATCGTACGGAATTCACTCTCCCACCCACCTCCTGATCTCCCAGGTACACATCTGATCAGGCTCTATCTGCAGGACAACCAGATAAACCACATCCCTTTGACAGCCTTCTCAAATCTCCGCAAGCTGGAGCGACTGGATATATCCAACAACCAACTGCGCATGTTGACTCAAGGGGTCTTTGATAACCTCTCCAACCTGAAGCAGCTCACTGCTCGGAATAACCCTTGGTTTTGTGACTGCAGTATTAAGTGGGTCACAGAATGGCTCAAATATATCCCTTCATCTCTCAATGTGCGGGGTTTCATGTGCCAAGGTCCTGAACAAGTCCGGGGGATGGCTGTTAGGGAGTTGAATATGAATCTCTTGGCGTGTCCCACCACGACCCCTGGCCTGCCTCTCTTCACCCCAGCCCCAAGTACAGTTTCTCCCACAACTCAGCCTCCCACACTCTCTGTCCCAACCCCCAGCAGAAGCTATACGCCTCTAACTCCTACTACATCGAAACTTCCCACAATTCCCGACTGGGATGGCAGAGAAAGAGTGACCCCACCTATTTCTGAACGGATCCAACTCTCTATCCATTTTGTGAATGACACTTCCATTCAAGTCAGCTGGCTCTCTCTCTTTACTGTGATGGCCTACAAACTCACGTGGGTGAAAATGGGCCACAGTCTAGTAGGGGGCATTGTTCAGGAACGCATAGTCAGTGGTGAGAAGCAACATTTGAGCCTGGTTAACTTAGAGCCCAGATCCACCTATCGGATTTGTTTAGTGCCACTGGATGCTTTTAACTACCGAGCTGTGGAAGACACCATCTGTTCCGAGGCCACCACGCATGCCTCCTATGTGAACAATGGCAGTAACACCGCTTCCAGCCACGAGCAGACGACGTCCCACAGCATGGGCTCCCCTTTTCTGCTGGCTGGCCTGATTGGGGGCGCAGTGATATTTGTGCTGGTGGTCTTACTCAGCGTCTTTTGCTGGCACATGCACAAAAAGGGGCGCTACACCTCGCAGAAGTGGAAATACAACCGAGGCCGGCGGAAAGATGACTATTGCGAGGCAGGCACCAAGAAGGACAATTCCATCCTGGAGATGACGGAAACCAGCTTTCAGATCGTCTCCTTAAATAACGATCAGCTCCTTAAAGGAGATTTCAGACTGCAGCCCATTTACACCCCAAATGGGGGCATTAGTTACACAGACTGCCATATCCCCAACAACATGCGATACTGCAACAGCAGTGTGCCAGACCTGGAGCACTGCCATACGTGACAGCCAGAGGCCCAGCGTTATAAAGGCGGACAGTAAAACTCTTGAGAACACACACGTGTGTGCACATAAAGACACGCAAATTACATTTGATAAATGTTACACGGATGCATTTGTGCATTTGAATACTCTGTAATTTATACGGTGTACTATATAATGGGATTTAAAAAAAAGTGCTATCTTTTCTATTTCAAGTTAATTACAAACAGTTTTGTAACTCTTTGCTTTTTAAATCTTAAAAAAAAAATAGTTGCTGAAGTACTGTACAGGGTTGTACAATGAGAACCCAACGCCAAGGGAAAAGAATGAGTGATTCTTCCTCATGATGCTCATTAACCACTTCGCTGTTGAAGCTGTCAGAATAAATTCCTTTCTTAGAGTGGGTGGTCAGATGAAAGGGCAGGTTAAAATGGACTTATCAGGGGAGGATAAAGAATATGGGTAAAACAAGAAAGGACCCAGATATCTTCATGCTATTTCTGTACTTTCTAGTCTGGAAGAAGAGTTAAAAATTCCAAAGTATAAGAAAGGAGGTAGTTACCATGGTTTGACCAAAAAGAAGAAATGTAGAAAGCATCACGAGGAAGTGAGTTCCCATGAGCCAAGTTAACCCAACCTGGCAGAATGGATAAAATGAGATGACATTTGAAAAGACCTCGCAACTCCAGGGTTGGCTTTCTGACTGGGAACTTAAAAATCACTCCTCGTGCCTCCCAAACCCTATGTGATAAGAGAGTTAGAGACCTGAATCTTATTTCAGTCATCTTCAGGGGCAGCTATGATGTCCCAGCAAGGAAACTCCCTTTAAAAGTGTTACTATTCAAATTATATGTCGGGTTGAATCACATTCAACAGAGATATATTCTAGAATACTTTTTTTAGAAGAGGCTAATAAAATAACAGGAAGAATTATATTGAATGGAATTATTTTTGATAATGAGAATTATTTGGGTAGATTCACTGCAGCTATGTCAACATGATATTTAGACCAACAGGGGATCAATATTTGGAATATACTAAACTGGTTACGTAAAAATTATTGATACCATTTAGACAAAAGCAAGTGATCCGTGGTTCTGCTATACTGCATCAATGGACTTTGTTAGTATCATGTTGAAATAGCTTGAATTAATACCTTTATCCCCTCGCAAATTCTTGTCTTCCAATCACCTCACATATATTTTCATAATTAGCTGTTTATGCTATGTTTGTTTTATCCCCCTCTGCTCAAAATTTGAAGGAAAATTATGGATGCCAGTCTTGGTTGCACAAAATATCCATAAACATTTAACACTTTAAAATGCACACTAATTTTCACTGCTAATAATTCTGTAAGGACACATCAAAGCTGGCCAAAATATATTGTTTGTTTGTTTATTTTAAAGCAATACTGAGTTTCCACCTTGGGCTGACTTTGATCCTGTTCCATTTTTGAAATTTCATTTATTCCTTTTCAATCTTGGATGTTCCTCTTCTTTGGGAATCGTGGAGGGATCATCAATCTTATAATAACAGGATAACAGATGAAAAATGGACAAGTCATAGAATGAAATGTTGTTCCCCTAACCTTGGCAGAGCAGGGCATAGAGCAGAGGGCACAGAGAAGAGAGGGATATCCCGGCTTAGTTCTAGATGTTTTTGGAGCAATGTCCATCCTCAGAGAGTATGTATAATTTACCCCTTTCTATCCCTTAGATGTAGAAGGGCTATCGATCACATACATTATTTAAAATATACACTCTTGGAACGTTCATCTTAAAATCAAATTTAGGCATTTCACTCTATGCACATTTGCTTTACCACTGGCCACTATTTTCTGGACCCATGAAGTTAATGTCACAATCATTTTTGCTTTCTATTTCTCTCACTTTTAACAAAATAGAACTGTGATGTGTCTTCTTTGTAAAAGTTTAGGTATAAAATGCTATGCAAGTTTTTCTTTATAGTAAGAGCTTTATTTTCTTTAATAATATACCCCAACTTATATGTTTTAATCTCCCTTGTCCCTCAGAATAAGCGAAATTACAGAATAACTGAAGCTATAATCTTGTAGACACAAGAGTCAAAACTGTGCAGTCAGTCGAGCTGAAATTAACTACGAATTAATTTTAATTAATTCTAAAGCGACTTTGGTTTCCATGTTAGTCTCTTAGCTAGCAAGTTTTGCCTGTTGCTTTTTTAAAGCTGGATCCACACAGTGAAGGGACAAGACAGTCTGTGAAGGTGATCAGTATAGCAGTAAAATTCAGGACAAGGACATGGGGTTTTGTGTATTTAACTGGATAATTCCCTTCCACTCTCCTCTTCCCCTTGGCTGTGTAGATAAAACTATGTGTTCAAATGATGGTACTTTGACTTTTGAGAGTTTCTTTTCCTTTTATCCACAAAATAATCTTTCTCATTTATTTGTATGTATGTATAACCCAACGAGGGATGTTTGGCTGCTGAAACTTCTTTGTTTTGGGCCAAGAAGACCAAGGTTGGAGAGATTTCGACAATGTCTTATGGGATTCATGGAATTATTTGGGGCTTAAGTGGTACAACGGACATCTAGTCATGTGAAATGGTTAGAATGATCTGAAATGGTTCCTTTGCTAGAATGTGTTCCTGAAGAGAGAGAATCTAGTTATAGGCTTTATTTTGATCTTGTGCACAACATGACAAAGACTGCTAAAATTAAGATCAATCTCCCGTTTGTAATAGTGCCCTTGGAGCTCTCGCTTACACCAGGATAGAAAGCACATCATGGAATTTGTAATGTCTTATGTGTCTTAGAAAAACTGCTGGACACCCCTCAGTGGTGGATTGCTTTGATTGGCATTTTCAGTCACAGGAATGTGTTTTGTCCATATATCTGCTCTGTGTTTGGGCCTTTCTTGCTGTTATTACTACATATTTTGAGGAGATTAATCGAGAGTCAAAGTTGAAGGTACAGGCCACATCCATGAACAAAGCCAATCTCAGTGGTTTATAAAGAACTGGATGCCATCTGACCAAATGAGATGATTTCAGATAGTATATGACCACTTTGAGAGCTAGATGACTCTCACTGTGCAGGGGGAATTTCAAAAGAAAAAGGCACAGCCCTGATCACAGTGATATCATTGACCGTCATTCATACCCAGGATTGTCATTAATACCTACTTGTTTGGGGAGAATTGTTTGATCATGGGAGAGACCGTGAGCTTCCCTCAAAGCTGACCCATGCCATGGGACAACCACAGGCGAGACAAAAAGTATGTTCCCTGCCTATTTTCCTTGTGTAACAAGTGGAAAACACACTACCCTGTGAGAAATAATGCAATTTCTAATTTTCTGAATGTTTGTTGAAAATACAATTGGATATTTTCCCTGAGGTTAAAGAAAAGCGTAATGTGACCAGTCTTGTAAAAAGTATTAATGAAGTAGCTAATATGACTGCCCAATTTCCTGCTAGTGCAGATCGCAGTGGTCTTCGTTGTTTCACAGGAGTCAAAACTTCCCTCCCTGCTGAGGAGGACAAGCTCTTCATGTTGTGTGCAGAGCATCATTCCAGACACAAGGCAACGTTGTTGCAGTCCACAGGGAGCAGATGCTGAACTTGATCAGCAAACCTCAGCCACAGAGCCCACTGCGACTTTTGACAGTGAAGTAGTTACTTTCCATTAACTTCTTTGTTTATAGCATTTTTCTCTAACCTATAACAAGGAGACATTAAATTTTACTTTACACCATGAGAGTAATGGTTTTGCTCATGACTTACCTTGCCAGCTTCATGAGAAAGAAAAATAGAAAAAAGTGCCCGAAAGAGAAAGAGACATATACACGAAACAAACAAAAACCCCCTCCTAGTTTTAGTCTTGTCAAACCTTCAGTGATACTCTGTTTTTTAAGTCAAAATACTAATGTAGGAAGCTGTAGTTTACAATCTGCTCTGACTTCTTCAGCAGGGTCGAAAGACGACTGCTGGCACTGGGGGATGCCTGTCACTGTCTGTGGGGAGAAAGTTTTGTACATGTATGATATCGTTGTTAGAACAGATCAGATTCTTTTGCTACAGTTTTTGTTTTTTCTTTTTCTAGCAGCACATCCAGCAGAAGAGCACAAAGCAAGGCCATTGCAACAGACATTTTTAAACTACTATAAAACACACACGTGCGTGCGCACACACGGAACACACACAAACACACACACTGGGGCATTTGTAAAGGGATTCACGGGATGTAAGATTTATAGGCAAGTGAAGGCGTCGCCACTGTGTGTCCCTCATAGGACCAGTCTTTACTCACTGAAAGTTAATCCTGATGATTTGTTATTGTTTGAACCATGTGTTGACTTGCTTCTGGTTTATGTTTAGTGTGTTCTCGCTGACAAGGGACTACAAGGGGCTGGAAGATTTGGCATCACACATCCTCTGAGACCTACCATGTCGCACACTTTGTTAACGCCAAACTTCACTCTACACTATACAGGACCTTGTTGATATATTCAGTAAAGGCTTATTTTAAAAGAAAACCACATTGTGTTTATCTGAGTAAGTTCATTGGGATACAGTTCATTGTGTTGTTAACGGCAAAGAGAAATGAAGAATGCTTCCTGTGGATGCAGGAGGATGGCAGGAATGAAGGAGGTAATAGAATTTTTCATCTTCTCCTACCTTGAAGACAACTTCTGTTTTTTAAGGCGTTTGGCCCTTTTAGTGTGAGGAATTTATATAAAATCCTCATGTTCTTTTCTGTTTCCTGACTAAATCGTGTGTTGCTATGAGTATCTTTTAAATATACACACATACATTGAGCATATTATTTTATATCTGTGAAATCTATGTTGTTTAGGATATAGTAAATACCAATGTAGTTATCCAATCAGAATAGTCTTTTTCCCTATTTCGTAGTATACACTATTGGTTTTAAATGTCAATTCTCATGGTATTTTTCTACTTCATAATTGTTCATAGCTCATCCACCCACACTTTCAGTGAGCACTGATGAAAACATATCCATTGAGATGTTTAAGTTTGACTGGATTAATCTCATGATTTTCCAAAACTCCTTTCTCTAACCCCTCTTGGCCATTTCACTAATAATGTGTTTGACAGAGATGGAATCAGGAAATAAAATCATGACACTTCACTTAACAATATTAATTATTTGCAGGATCTCTGTTGGAAAATTAACTATAGAAGACAGTGGTAACAGGCTATTCATATTACATTTGGGAGGTCTTCTGTAAAATAATGTCCGCATATTCTTGGCTACTTTTGCCAAGAGTTACAAACTTTATTCTATAGAGACCAGAACCTTAGTCAAGGAATACCATTCATTCAAAATTTATTAAACTCCTTCTGCTCTGTTTCAGGCACTGGTCTGAGTTCAGAGGTTTCATAGAAGAATAAAATACAGTCTTAGCCAAATCAAGCATGTCTTCTACTCCACTATGTTCCTAAAGAAATGTGTTTGTTCATCCAATGTATTTACTCCTCATCTACTTTCTACAGAGTACTCTGTTAGGTTCCACTGGGGATTCAGAGAAAGCTATGACTTCACTGCTAAGGAGCTCACAGATGGTGGAATAAACTCATTTTCTAACACATTCCAGTGTCTCAGAGCCCATGTAGTAACTGTACATTGTTTCAAACTCAACAGAATATCTAAGGTAATAAAAGAGACATACATACTTGGTCAATTTGATGATGCATCTATCATATATTTTAGATCATCTTGGTGTTTAATAGGTGGAACAAAATGATAGTGCATTGATAAAATCAGAGCTCTATGTGAATTAAATTTTCAAGTTTATACCAAGTACTTGAAAATTTAGAAATTGTATTTGGTAATTATATGTGCAATCTCTTAAATTTCCATTGAACACCAGGATAGAAATCAATCCAAAATAATAATAATGGTGTCTGACTCCATGGACTCTTTAACTGTTTTCTTCCCTCTTAGTAAATTGACTAGCCTTAAGATTGACTAGCCTTCAGGACAAATTCTTAGCCAATGTTTAAGATTTTTTGATGATGGAGATACTATAACTTCACTCAGTGGATGCATTTATCCATTAGTGTTTGTGACAAATCAAGGGAATATTTTTAAAAACCTCAAAATGTCTGTGTTTTATAAATCTGTTGGTCATCCCTTCCTATTTTTAATAGAAATCCTGTTTTTGTGATTATTTGATGGTTGCACATTTAATTGATTTGAAAGCTTCAGATGGAATCAGATATGTCTACACCCACAGGGTGAGCTGAGAGAACTATTAGAAGGACTTGAGTCAGGTTATTTTTAGTAATGAATTTGTTTCATACTTGAGAGGTTGCTCTAAGTATTTTTTAGATCTGCTGAAGCTGCTCAAATGTCAGAATGTATTATGGCATTAACAAACTGGCGTCTGGATTTATGCTTTTCTTTATAGCACAAATAATATGTGCTTTAGAGGATATTATTCAACCTTTACTTTTATTAGTTATACAGAAAGTTAGGGATAAAGAATTTTTAATGTTATACTCCAAACCAGATACCATTGTAGCACATACACCAACTAAGGATCACATTTGCCCATTTTCTTGCTGTGAAGTCTAAACTAGATGAAAATTTCAATATATCCTTAGGGGGATTCTTGTCATTTCGATGACATAATAAATCTCCATATTGGGTCGATCTTTTCCTAATCAAATATAAAACTGTGCTGGCTCAGAGAGTCTGCTAAACTTTCTGGTTTGGGTAGTATGGGCTTTTCTTAGTATAGTTTTGTTTTCATTCAGTAGATATTTCCTGAGGCCTCATAGGTTTTGGTGGTAAGACTTTTCCAGGAGAGTTAACTTTGCGTCACCAAAAGTCTTTCCTAGAAGTTGCTGGCATTCAACACATGGCCTAGGCTATTCCTGCCTCTTTGCCTTCGTTGAGTGCTGGCACTCCTACGTTTAAACAATCAGCCGGCAATTCTAGTTTCAGCACCTACCTGCTCTCTCAAACGTTTCTTCTCTCAGTTTCCTAACTCCGACATGGCTAAGATCCTTCCTCTAGCCTATCTCATGTCAACCTTTCCTACACACAGCAGGACAAAGGATAATCTATTAAGAATGCTTGTTTGTGACACTGTCTTGCTTTCAAACTATTCCATTACCATTACTGTGAGAGAGAATTCCAACGCCTTGTGTGACATCTGTGTCGTCCCACATATGTTGCTCCCTGACATTCCTTAGCAGTGTTTCCTCCTCATTTATGATGTGCTCTTGACTAGATAGAGAGTTACAGTGAGCCAAGAGCTTTCCATCTCTCTCCAAGAGATCGCAAGCGCCTTCACACTGCTATAGTTTTGCTCCAGGTCTTTCATCCTATGACATTCACTTTCTCCTTTGTCTGGTGATGTGTTCCTCTTTCAAGATACAATTTAAATGCCTGCCTCTCGGAAAACTTCTTGAATCACACCTGCCAATTATCTGATCTCTCTGTGCAGTTAATATAACCTTAAAATACGTTTATTTACAGCACCTCTATATTGTAATTTTTCATGGGTCTGTGTGGACCTCATCCAGTGCTGAGCACAGTGTCCAGCCCCTGGTAGGTGCCCAGCAAATGCTTTTGGAGAAAGTGTGAAGGGAGCACGTGAAACTCTGTAGTCATGTCCGACTCCCTGTGGGGTCAGCTCTCTGTAGTCATGTCCGACTCCCTGTGGGGTCAGCTCTCCACGCACACCAGCAGCTCCAATGACAGCTACCCTGTCAATCTCCTAGTGCTACACGACTTTTTTAAAAGCCTCAGATAGAGCTGTAGAATTCTGAATTATGCAGAATAAGCCTTGTTCAAATGCCACAAAATGCATTTTGTAAGAAGCAACAGAACGTACATATTTTCTTAAAAGTCTCTTGGTTACCCATTACTATATTTTTGACGGAAATGTTGTTTTTGTGATGATATCGTGGCCGCACATTTATCTGATTTGAAAGCTCTAGATGGAATCAGGATGTGTCTTCACCCACAGGGAAGGCTGAGAGAACTATTAAAATGATTTGAAGAACATCCTTTTTATACTTTACAGATAACCTTAAAACTCTGAGCCAGCTTACAGAAAGGCATATAAAGAGATATCTTAGAGAATTGTTCTGCAACAAAATGTCACCATCATAAAATGTATACGAAGTATGGGTAGATACAAAGTCAAAGTAAGACATTTTGCCAGTTTGCTGGTCAAAATGAATTCTTCGTATGTAAAAAGCAGAGGTAGATTTTTTTTTTCATCTCCATTAGCAATATCAAAAGGTTGGTCAGGGGCTGGCCCAATGGTGTAGTGGTTAAGTTGGGTGTGCTCCGCTTCGGCAGACCAGGTTCGCAGGTTTGGATACCAGGCATGGTCCTACACAACTAGTCAGCCATGTTGTGGCAGCGACGCACATATAAAATGGAGGAAGACTGGCACAGATGTTAGCTCAGGGCTAATCTTCTTCAAGCAAAAAAAAAGGAAGATTGGCAAAAGATGTTAACTCAGGGCTAATCTTCCTCAGCAAAAACAAAAACAAAAAAAGGGATAGTCATTATTCACTGTGTCATATCCTATATCAAAAATATGGCATATGCCATTTAAAGGTTCATGTTGTAGTATCTTGGTTATTACCATGAGAATAAATAATCTCTCCTAGAAATGATACTCATAATGAAGGCAGTGGAGAGTGGTGGTTATTAAGAACTCAGACTTGAAATGGGTTGACTCATTTTGCCATTAACCTGTCAATTGGCCTTGTTTAATAACTTACACTTTATGGTCATCTGTTTCTTTTACCTTAAATGGAGACAGTGAAGACTAATACATATGATGGTCAGAACTTAAGGTATATGTTACAGTTAACATAGTATCTGGGTCTGACTAAATACCATCAAGAACCTAGTATTTTACAGGCAATCGCAATTCACAAGCACAAGGTGACATATCGCCCAACTTATGTGATGAAACCAACCTTTGGGAGTGCTAAGATCAGAATTATATGTAGGGATCATCTATTCAAGATAATTAGCATCCAAAATTCCACATAACTGTGTACAACCATATTAACACATGTCTGACAGAGAGTTTTCCATTTTCCTTATTCTTCTGGAAAAGTTGAGAAAGTGAGGTCCCATAAGGCAACACAAAACAATACCAGGTCCTCTGTCTCATGGTGTAGTTTAGCTCAAGGTCTTTCATCCTACAACATTCACTTTCTCCTCTGTCCGGTGACATGTTCCTCCTTCAAGATACAATTCAAATGCCCACCTTTCGGAAAACTTCTTGAATCACACCTGCCAATTATCTGATCTCTCAGTGGATTATCTGACCCACTGAATAGCACTGTTGAATGGAAAAAGAATAGGTTTCTTTGTAATGTAACATATGTAGCATATTTCCTCTCTAACCTGCAGAGCATATGCAGGTGTGGTTACTGCTGAAAATTAATTCAGGAAATGTATCAAAGTGGTGAGTATCAAAAAGAATGTTCAGAAGACATTGGGAAATTGAAACATTTAAAAAAATCAAGATAATAA